AATTTTTTATAATAAAAAATGGTTTTAAAAGTTTTAGAAATAGATTAAATAACTTAATTAGAGTTTGAAAAGGTCAAGTCTTTGAGTTGGGAAAATTTTGGATAGGAATCCACGTCTAAACTAATTAATTTTTTTTGGTTAAACAATCTATTTCTAGTTGTTATGGAACAATTAAACGTGTTTGAGGAAATCTCAAAACATACCTAAAATCTCTTAGTTATAAGAAAGTGTAACATAGTATTCTAATTCAAACTAGTTATAATAATAATAAAAAAAAATTTGCTTAAACTAAAAAGTATATACTGTGAAACTCACTCTTACTATTTAATATTCTAATTCAAGCTTTGCTAAAAAACATTTGTCCAAAAAAGTATTTCCATCCAAAAATTTCTATTTTTTTTTTAAAAGTCATCTTAAACTCACTCTAAATCAAATCAAGAGTTAATTAAGAAACAAACTTACTTCGGTGGAGGGACGTTGGAGGAGGCTACCGGAGTCGAAGCAGCGGCTAAACTCGAACAAATTAGGGGAAGATACAGGTGGAAGGGGATGAAGATGATCATGGTTATTGAAGCTTCTGAGTTTAGGGGTCCATGGAGAATTAGATAGCTGCAGGATTTTATTATTATTATTATAAGGTTGAAAATGGTGAGCCCTTGTAAATACTTGCTGCGGCGGCCATTTCTTGTCCTCAAGGAATCGGCTTGGCCTAATGGGTGGGGTTCTTGATATCGCGTTTGCCACTTCATAAATGTGACAACTTTGAGGTGGGACTGTATCTGTAGATATGATCTTCTCCATGTTTGAACAATAATCTGTGCTCCATGAAGAACATGCCCTAATTGCCAAATACAGATCGATAATATTTTTGTAAACTGAAATATTCAATCTCTAATTTTCCAAATCTATTACAACATGGCCGCAATAATTATAAGATATCTGGTTAATTATAATGTATATCTCTACCTCTAACTTCTTTATAAGAAGTCGAAAGTTTGAATTCCTACTTATATCACATTCTATATATAAAAAAGCGTGAACTTATCAAGCCACGTTGATAATATTGTTGACATCTTCACCTAAATGACCTCTAAGAGGAAGCAAGAGATGTCGGAGTCATATGCTCACAGTAAATAGAAGGAACGACGAAGGATTGAACCTCCGACTTCTAGAGGAAGAACAAAATGTCTTGACTGTTGAATTATACTTATGATGATTATGTGCTATATGCTCATTTCTTTTTCTCCATTTATAATTTTTCTCGAGCTATATGTGTACATATATACGTAGATTTTGTTGTAAAGAATTTGGGCATATTTAGAGAGAAAATAATGGTATTGGGTTGAGTTAAATACCTTGAAGAGTTAGGAGGTGGTCTGAATTGGTAATTAGGCTTTGTGAAGTGTGAGAGGAAATTAGTTGCATTATTATTGAGCTCTCTCAAATGTCCATGATGGTGATGATGATGATTCAATCTCTGGTACATTTGCACAATCTGATTTCTTCCAAACATTGTCTGAGACAAAACTGCACATTATAATTAACCATAAAAACAATAACAATAACAAAATCAAATCAACTCTTTCTAATTATTTTTATATATGTCCTCTTTCAAATTAAAGCAAATTAAATGATTTTATTTTTATTTTTAAATTTCAGTGTCCAGTTTGTTTATACTAAGGCCAAACACGTCCCTAATAAAAATACCTCCCACAATTACGTTCATTCTCGAATAGTTATGTTTTTTAAAACTTTATTTAAATGTTTGAAATGCTGTCTATTTGGGTCGTTTATACTTTGGATTTTGATTTATTTTGGTAGGTACACTTACAATTTTGATTCATTTTGGTAGGTACACTTTCAATTTTGATTCATTTTAGTCATGAAACAATTTTAATTTTTGTTCATTTTAGTCCATGATTTTTTTACTAAAAAAAAAATGATATTTTGGTATAATTTACAAAATTTTAATTACATAGATTTTTGTACACCGTAGAAACCCTTTTGATACAATTTTATGACTAAATTTTAAGAAAATTTGTGAAAAAAATATCACGCTAAAATTATGGTAAAAAGAAATGAGATGAACATGAAAATAAAAAGATCAAAATGGTTATTTTTTAAAATTAGAGTACCAAAAATAGGCATTAACACTAAAATGAAAAAAATAAAAAATAAGAGACAAAAAATAAACTAATTAATGGTGGGAAACTATCTTGCTCATTTCTAAAATGTTGGGATTATGCTCCAGTCCCCAATAAACAGGTGTAGGCATGCAATTGGTAATTTTTCATAGTCCTTTAATATAATTTTGTAGTTCTATTTTGGAAAAGTTTTTATTTCATTTTCTTGATCTAACAAAACAACATTGGTTTTTTTTTTTTCTAATAATGTTTCCATTAAAAAAAACAACAAACAAAAATGACTCTTTGCAAATGAATAAAGCTTAAAATATATAAGAAAATAAAGGTCGGTTTGTTTAGATCAGAGCAATAAATACCATTTTATGGGGAAAAAAAGGAGAATAATTTTTAAATAATTTGTAAAAATTAAAATCATTATCCATATATATATAATTAAACTCGTAGTTTAAAAAGAAAAAAAAACATATCGAAACAACTTTTAAGAAATAGTTATGGATCATATTTCCAATCATTTGTTTTTTTTTAAGAAGAAAATTATATTAAAACCCTTTGTTTTATGAACCTCGAAAAGGTAGAGAATCCAGGTAGGTATTAAATTAGAAACT